TCTCCAGAATGACTAATCTGCAATGACTGTCTAAAAATATTTTTTTGCATAGACAGGGAATGCAATAATGCATCTCTGAGCTGAAATGGTACAAATAGTCCTATTTGATGTTCTGATTATCTTTTTTAAATTTTATAACATAAATTTTTACTAATCTCCTGAAACTCTAAGTAGAACCCTGTTGCAGATATAATTCCTGTCAGTGGAGTGAAAAGCATGATTTTTGATGGAGGGGGGAAAAGACTTTAAAACTTTCTGTTGCAATAAGAAAATAGTTTAAAAGACTTAAAAAATATAAAACTTTATCTTCTGGGTTTTTTCAAGTAATAGCTAATTGGAGTCACGACTTTTGACAGTCCATCTCACTTCGTTAAGTGCAATTCCACAATTTATATGGGGCTGCTCTGAAAGTAATGCCTCCTATTTTATTTTATTAGTCCACAATGTTAGAGGCAGATGGTGGTGGTATGGCAGTAGAGACTGAACTTCAGATTATGGATCATTTACAGTGTTGATAATTTTTTTGGCCTTCTTTTTTTTTTTTTTTTTTTTTTTTCATCCTGTCATACTCAGTAGCATGGTTGTAAATGCATGGAAGGTTTTGTTCTCTTAATTCTGTATCATTCACTAAATTGTTTAAAAACAAAAAGTGCTCTAGGCTAGGCATGTTTTGTGTTCTGAAATTTCAAACTGTAAATTTGAAATTCCCACAGTAAGTTCAGGTTTTGCACTTATGTACTAAGAACAATTACAGGAAAAGGCCATCTGGAGTCTTTCATGTTCTTGTACCACAGAATAGGCCCTCCTATCCATACTGAGGTACAAAAGTGCTAAAAAGTGTTTTGAAAAATCAGGGGCTCTTCAGATAAATTTATGCTGGGTTTCCTGCAGAATAGTCAACAAACTTCTCACTAAATTGCTCAGAGTGCCCGAACAAATACAATATAGACAAACAGAAAATGTTACTTTTATATCACTAATTGGTCATGAGTTCATATTTTTCATGAACTGATACAAAACAAGCATTCTTTGATCTCTGAAGGTCTTTAACAATTCTTATATTGACTAACTTCTGATTAAATTTGAAGTGTTGATTATGCAGACAGAGCATTTATAATGAATAAGAGATAGCTTCTCAAAGAGGATCAGTAGCAGATTTTTCATCTAGGCTTTCTTAGAAAATAAAAGATTAACTTACTGCCATCTACTAAGTTTGTTAATTTCCAAGATAGTAATGTAAAATGTGCTGTGTCTTTGGAGCTTGTTTTTGAGTAGCCATTTAATGACTTGTTAAGTGGCATAAGACTGATGTGTTTGAGGGTGGAAAATGTTCTTTATAATTAGCAAGCAGAAAAGAGAGCAAAATTTGTGGCAAATTCACTGTAGCTAAACAAACACAAAAAAATTCATTTTAGCCCAATCTAGCATTATAGCACTATCATTATAAACAGAAGGCTGCACCTGTTTTTCTGGCCTTAAAAGTGCAGTGTGTTTTGGAAAGCCAGGAAGAGGCAGGATTAGTATTTTTTCTGTTCAAATGTAAGCTGACTTACACCAAGTTCTGATTTAATAAACAATATGAAACAATTCAGGCCTGCTCATTCCTGTTACTGTCATTTCTCAGAATTGTTGGTGTTGTAATTTCTGTATTTCCTGGAGAAAGGGTAGAAGCATGTCTATTTAACCCTACCAAACTCATTTATTAGACACTGATTTCTTTCCTGTGAATTACTTGTCATTCTGATTACTCAGCAATAAAACTGAAGAAGTGTGCACAGGGCCACAATAAACCTCAGGGAAAATAATTGAAAGAGAATGTTGGAATCTCTTCCTGTTACCCATACTAATGAGCTTAACTCCATCATTACAGTTTTATGTGAAAGTATTTGTTGATCATCCATGATGTGAAAGTAAATTTGGATATCTGTTCAGTGTGGTTGGCAGTCCAGATAGAACGTAAGCAGATAATGTCACTCGTGGAAATACGACATTTATTTTAAAGTTTAAAGGGAGCTTCTAAAAGCTGTATTGCAGGGGCTGTTTGAATGTCTAATATGATGAATACAACGGATTTAAGGAAATGTCCTTTTTCTGAATCATCAGTTCATAACTGTTTCGTTTAAGTATGGTTAATAAAGTTTTTCCAGTTCAATTTCTTCTGTACTCTCAGTTTGTATCTAATATAAACCACTCAATCGTCACATATATGGTAACCTTACCAAAATACAAATTGTAATATTGATTAATTAAAAACAGATGATGATTTCTCAGAGTCCAGTTTAATTCTACGTAGGTGACATTAATGTGCGTAGTAATTTCAGAAGGTAACATTCTAGTACATGCATATGGCACAAATCAGAAGATGAGATAGAAATCGGGGTGAATTGGGTCTGCATAAGATCGTGCACAGGACACCTTGGCAGGCTTCTAACTACTTTAAAGGAATGTTGTAAGTGGAGCTATTTCCTATGACAGAAGGATGGACCAATCTTTCCTCATCTCCCCCGTGTTTCCATGTACAGGAGAGTGCACAGGACACCTCTGGACAAAAAATAATGCAAAAATAAATCACTTGTATATGTCAAAAGGAAATACTCTATTTCTAAATTATATTATAGTCTATCAAAAGTCAATAAAATGTTAAAATACATATTTTTTTAAAATAACTGTGTATCATATTAACGACTGTTTTTTTAATTATTGTTTCCAGCATCAGAAGTGTGGGTTGCCTTATATTAAGGTCTGTTATTACTCCTTAGAACATGGTACCCAATTAATGCAAAGTTTATGTAATGAAACTTATGTCATTAGTGTAAATTATCAAAATTACTTACTCTTTTGAGTATTTTCCTTTCAATAGAGTATGTAGATAATGAGATTGGTTTGAATTAAAATTGGTAATATAATTTAATTTGATGGACTGAAGTATGTGAATGGTTTATGTGCTAGTTTGGCCCGGTTTCGTGACCAGTGGGGCAGAGGGATCCATGGACCCACTCCCTGGGAAAAGGGGGAAGAGGGGAAAAGAGAAGGGAGATGGGCCTAAAAGCAAAACTGAGAAGGAAAGTTAATAATATCGGAATGCAAGGTAACACAATACAACTGGAATTGTGGCTAATAAATCAGTTAAAATGAGACTCTTACTCTAATGCTGAAGGCGTGATGTCTATGGAGCGCACACATTGCTGAGACAAGCAGAAAAAGGGGCATCTTGTGATCTGCAAACAGGTTTATCTTTCCCTCTGAATGGAAAACAGAAATGCAAAGTCTACTGGGGTATGTAGTTCTTTTCTGAGAACCAGGTACCTGGAAAATCGACAGTCCATGGAATTGGAACATTAACTCTTTATCTCCCAGTGCTTTTATGTTGTTATGATGTTATGATGTGGAATACTGTCATGGTTTTATGATTTTTGGTTATCAGTATTCCACACCATAACATCATGTAATGCACTGAGGATTTGACTTCTGATGCTCAAGTTCCGAGTGCCTGTCCAACAGAGAAGAACTACATTTCCCCAGGAGGCTTTGCAGTCAGTGAGGGGATATAACTGTGCAAGGTCACCTGATGCTCTCTTCTTCGCCTGCTCTTCTTCGCCTGCGCTTCTCTGTCTGCTCTTCTCCATCTGCTTTTCTTCATCGGCTCAACTGGACTGCACTTCTCACCTCAGCGTTGTGGTGAGGCCTATCCACCTTTCAGACACACTCTCTCTCATTATATTTTGCTGATACTATATTTAATAAATCAGTTTGTTCCACCTCAGATTGTTGCCGCTGTTTTCAATTATTTTGGGGTCCCCTGTTTCCCTTTTCCGGAGGCATGGATCCACAGATCCCTCTGCCCCGCTGACCACGGAACCAGGCCAAACCAGCCTATAAACTGTTGACAAATACCGATAACAAAAATCATAAAACAGTGACATTTTCTTTTCAGTGGAATTGTAGGTAATGAAATTGATTTGAATTAAAATGGGTAATATAATTTAATTTCATGGACTGAAGTATGTTCTTTAATACTGATGGTCTTCTATTCAAAATGTATCGTTTTATATGTACCTGGTTGAAGAAAATGTAATCAGCATCATCTGTGAAGCCCTCCATTTTCAGCTCGTAATATTTTTTGTAAAGAATGTCTGTTTCATTAATTGTTTTGAAGTGCATATTTCCTCAAAGGCTAGTACTGGTGGACAGATTATCTTATTTTCAGTAAAGGTCTGAATCAGAAGTCCTGAACTAAATGAAATAAAACTAGTAAAATTGAACTATGTCTTGAAGAAAAATAATGCATTTTTTTCCTATTTCTATTTTATTTTTCAGTTTACAGATTGTAGACATCATCATCTTTGTAGGCTATATTTACTTTGCATTAGCGAGCCTTTTGGTTAAAAAACATCCCTGCAATTTATCAATGTTGAAATATTCCCAATTTACTATAAAATAAGTAAACTAGAGTTTTAATTTTCTTCCCAAGTTGGTGTAAAATGAATGTGAATTTGAAGAAATGAGTTAGTGCAGGTGCTCTTAGTGTTGGTGGAAAAATAGAGTTGCTTTTTCCATTCTTTTGTTTTGAGAAGTCATGTTAAAAATTAAACAGAAAAATAGGTAATTTGTTTAATTCTGTAGAATAATTTTGTTCTAACGTGCTACAAATAAGAAAGTAATAATATTCTGGCAATGAAGACCTAGCTGTACTGTCATCAATAATGTACTGCACTTCTATTTGTTGTCTTTGTTTATGTTTTAATAACTTTATCAAAGAGGAAAGAAATGCACTATTCCTGTGCCCATGCTTTTTTTTTTTTTTTTTTTTTTTTTTTAAAGGTTAAGAAACCTCACATATTTCAGTGTCAGAAGCCTTATACCTTGTCCCTTCTTGTATTTCTGGTGATGAGAGTTTTGAAGGATGCAGTAATTGCATTTATTAGCTTCCAGAGGTTTGACATGATGTCTAGGCAACTGGTCACGCCTTGCCAACATGGAACTTCTTTTGTGGTTTACAGGCTGTCAGCAGCCAGCCATCCTTTATCACCTCACTGCGACATAGATTCAAGTACCTCTGAGGAATTCTACCAGGCTGTTCACCATGCTGAACAAACCTTCAGAAAAATGGAGAGCTACCTGAAGCAACAGCAGCTCTGTGATGTTATCCTGATTGCTGGGGATCGCAAGATACCTGCTCACAGGTAGGATGTAAACATATTACATCAAATGTTTGTGATCTACTTATTTCATAGAACAGGATTTTCTGTGGCTCCTTATGCCTGCTTCCTTCTTGCCCCCCCATCACAAGTGTAAATGACTGTAGAAGGTGCTATCTGAAAGTTCAGTCTTCGAAGGTATTATGCAGGATCTCTCTGACACGTACAGTAGAATAATAATACTGAGCACTAACTTCTCATGTTTCCTTTCAATGTACTGAAAAATGGCTTAATAACTTAGAATAAGTATAAAAATTAATTTCAGTAAATATAAAGACTATATGTCATTATCATTTTCAAAATGGCTTAAGAGTATTAAAACAGCTAGTATGTAAGAAACTGTGCTTGATTTTGGAACGTAATTAGAGCTTAAAATAGTTATAGTCATCTGAGATTTTGGTCTTTACCATATCCTTTGACTTTGTACATGCAAATGAAAATCCACTCCAAGAGTTCATATTAAAATACACAAAATGCTTTTAAATTTCCAGTTAGAGAGCGAGTATTTTTGCATTTAAACTCTGTGTAAGGCTACAGTCTAAGGGTGACCTCTTCCTTGCCTATGCCCTAGTTTATCTCCTGAAATAGTAAACATTCCTGAATGAACAAAAATTAATAGAAATAATGATAAATTGGTTGTTCCTCTCTGACAGGTTCTTGGTCTGTTTTTGCATTTCACATTTTCCAGCACAGATCAGAAAAAAAGTAAAACAAATGCAATGCCTGAATCTACACTCTTAAACTGTTAAGAAAACATACTCACTAGATATACATAAATATTGTTAATGCTTTGCCTTGTTGAATATAGATTACTTAAAATACTATTTTAAAATAGTATATAGAAATGCTATTTTTAGCAGTATATTTTTTGCCATTAGTATTTATTTTGGTAGAGTGCATAGTTTGTAGAAAAGGATACAGAGGAAACTGCAGTATGTATATTTTTAATTCATCTGGTTCACTCTTCCCACTGTTTTTAAGACAGCTGTACATGTTTGTATTCCTGACTGTCAGTAGTAAATTTAATTTCACCTTTGTCATTTCAGTTCTACAGCATATCTAAGTCCTTCTGGTGTTGAGCAAATACTTCAATAAGGAGAGGACTGATAATGAAATAATAAGCAAAATCATATATATATATTTTTCTTCTAATAAACCTTCAGACAACTTTCCATTGATCTACTCCTCTCCAGTCAAAAGACTGGGTGTCAAAAAATTGGTCAAACAACTTTTGAATTGTGTATAATTGAAAATACTGTGTTTTGAATAAATTGTAATTTTGTCCAACAAGAAAAAAATGAAGAGAAGGGTTTTCTGAGTTTTATTTTTGTTTTCTACTATTTGTTTTGATTTAGATAGTTGTGACTGGACAAGCACAGAAAAATGGCTTTCTGCTTGCTTTTAGCTTGGCTATTACAATCCTAAAATATAATTTAATTTGGAAGAGACCTTCTAGAGTCAGATTCAACAGCCTCTGTTGAAAGCAGGCCCAAGTCCAAAGTTAGATTAGCCTGTTGAGGCTCATTAAATATTGGCATTTACAAAGGTTCCTCTCTTGGCAGCCTCTTCCAGTCTCTGATTATCCTCACTGCCTTTAGTGATCCAGCATGTATGTAGTTTTATGAAGATTTGCTTTGTGATTTCTTTGATCAGAAGAACAAAACTGAAATACATCTTGGAATGGAAGTTACATTCTTTTCCAGTCTCTGGAAACATCTTACAGTTGTCATGGTCTGACAAATATAAGAGAGAACGTTTTCTCTGTGACATTGTTGAGCTAACTTAAGCCACTCCTCTTTGAATATATTCTCTCTGGTCCCACGGACTCTTCCGATTTACTTGTACTGCTCCCTAAGTACTTTTTCCTCTGCTGTAAGGGATATTTTGTACCCCGTAGATCTTGCCACTAGGCACAGGAACATAGAAGTCCTGAAAGTATGAAGAAAACAGCAGCAACAACAACCACAACAAAAATAAATAGCCACTCTCGTGTCACTCTCGTCTTCAAAAAGGGCAAGAAGGAAGACCCGGGTAATTATAGGCCCGTCAGCCTCACCTCTGTCCCTGGAAAGGTGATGGAACAGCTTGTGCTGGATGCCATTTCCAGACAACTGGGAGAAAAGAAGTTATCAGGAGTAATCAGCATGGGTTCACCAAGGGGAGGTCATGCTCGACCAACCTGGTGGCCTTCTATGATGTTGTCACATGCTGGGTGGATGGGGGAAGAGCGGTAGATGTAGTCTACCTTGGTTTTAGAAAGGCATTTGATACTGTCTCCCATGATATCCTTATAACAAAGCTGAGGAAGTGTGGGATAGATGAGTGGACAGTGAGGTGGGTTGAGAACTGGCTGACTGGCAGAGCACAGAGGATCGTCATTGGCAGTGCAGAGTCTGTCTGGAGACCTGTAACCAGTGGTGTCCTCCAGGGGTCTGTGCTGGGTCCGGTCTTATTCAGCATCTTCATCAATGACCTTGATGAGGGGATAGTGGCTACCCTCAGCAAGTTTGCTGATGATATGAAGTTGGGAGGATTGGCTGACACGCCTGAAGGCTGTGCTGCCATTCAGCAAGACCTGGACAGGCTGGAGAGCTGGGCAGTAAGAAACCAGATGAGGTTCAACAAAAGCAAGTGTAGAGTCTTACACCTAGGGAGGAATAATTGCACGCACCAGTACAGGCTGGAGGATGAGCTGCTGGAGAGGAGCTCTGCAGAGAGGGACCTGGGTGTCCTGGTGGATGACAGGTTGGCCATGAGCCAGCAGTGTGCCCTCGTGGCCAAGAGGGCCAATGGCATTCTGGGTTGCATTAAAAAGAGCGTGGACAGCAGGTCAAGGGAGGTGATCCTCCCCCTCTACTCGGCTCTGATAAGGCCTCATCTGGAGTACTGAGTCCAGTTCTGGGCTTCCCAGTACAAAAATGACAGGGATCTCTTGGAAAGAATCCAGCGGAGGGCCACAAAGATGGTGAAGGGCCTGGAGCATCTCCCCTATGAAGAAAGGCTTGAGTGAACTGGGTCTATTTAGCCTTGAGAAAAGAAGACTGAGAGGGGACCTGATCCAGGCTTATAAATATCTGAGGTGTGGGGGCCACAGTGGTGAGGCCAGTCTCTTTTCAGTGGTGAGTGGAGACAGGACAAGGGGAAAGAGACATAAGCTGCAGCATAGGAAGTTCCGCATGAATGTGTGTAAGAACTTCTTTACAGTGAGGGTGACGGAGCACTGGAACAGGCTGCCCAGGGAGGTGGTGGAGTCTCCTTCTCTGGAGATAGTCAAGTCTCGCCTGGATGCCTACCTGGGTGACCTGGTTTAGGGAACCTGCTTTGGCAGGGGGGTTGGACTCGATGATCTCTGGAGGTTCCTTCCAACCCCTACAATTCTGTGATTCTGATGTGGGCGTCTGAGGGCTTCTTCAAGAATTACAGTGCACCACTATCAGCTATCAATGATATATAATTGATCATATAATCACATATCAATGATATATTCGAAAAGAAATAAGAAAAAAAAAAAAAAAAAAGAAAAAGAAAAAAAGATTGATTTAGGGATTTTCAGACCTTTACTACAACTTAGCATGGAGAAAATATTTCTTGGTCTACCAATTTTTTTTTGTAGCCAGGAGTTACTTACTGTTATTCACTAAGATGAAAGCGGATATTATGTATTCTGACTGACAGACCATCAGTTGAAAACAGACAACGTCCTCAGACATCTGATGGATGGGTAAAAATCCCTTTAAGCCAAGATTTAGGAGTATTATAGAACCTTTTGAGATACAAAAAGCGGCAGATCATTACAAATTAATTGTAAGGGCTTTGATTTTTTTTTTTAATTTTTTTTTTTTTTTTTTACTTTTTCACTCTCAGCACTAGATATTCTTGGAGCATGGGATTTACAAAAGCTGTCAACTTTTCTGAATTAGATGTAGTTAGCAAGTTTCTTTCACTTCAGTTTAGCCTTTGAAACAATTGCCAAGGAAAAACATTATGTCTAGAAATCAATTCACTCTTTGATTTTCATCTATTGATGGAATAGCTGTTTTATTATTTATATGGAGTAGTGAGTAATAGACAATTAAAAAATAATAATAGTAATAACTGTTCAAAAATGTGTCTTGCTTGTTTAGGTGAGCAGTTATCTCACAGGTTATTTCTGTTGATCTAAACTGTTTTCCTTAATAAATAAGGTACCAAAGACTTCACATTTGCGTATATATTTTTTAGGATTTTTCAGTTTGGACTGAATCTTGTCTGGTTATGTGTTCATCTGAATTGAATATTCTTTTGCTGTGGCAGTCCATTAAGATAATTTAGAATGTATTTACCCAGATGTCGTAGGTGCATAGGTGATACGGCAGTAGAGATTGAGCCTTCCTGCTAACATCTCATTGCTGTGTGACAGATGGCAGCAGAGGGGCAATCTGACAAAAGAGCATGGAAATGGATGTGTGTCTGAAGCAAAGGTGTGTTGTTGAATTCTGCCATGTGGAAATGATGACACCCACTGAGTTTGACTGAACATTTTTTGAGGCAAAACTGTGTATGTGAGCACAGTGAGGCAGCGGATGGTGCGTTTTAGCAATAGCAGCAGCAATAGGAAAAATGAGTTACTTTCCAGATGGCCATGTACAGCTGGCACACCATGAGATGAAGAGCATCTTCATCAGTGCATCCATATGAATTGGCTAATTGTGATTACTGTGCTAAAAATAGTGTTCTGCAGTAGTGTTATTGTGCTCTTCATATCTGTTGTAGTTTCTATGGAAATATTATGTAAATAGGAGGCATTATTTTCAGAGTAACCTATGTAAACATGAGCTTTTTATACATTAGAAGCTTCTAAATTTCATGATTGCCAGAGTTGAGTATACTATCAGGAGACATTAAGCTATCACAATTAGTCATTTCCCATAATTTGAGCCAAAGTAAAAATCATATATATGATATCAAGCTGCTCTACTTGCAGGTAAAATATAGTAGCTTAAAGCACTGAAGCTAATTTAAACTGTCATATTTTACTTTTCTAGTGAGTTGAGCTAAGCGAGCCAAAGCAATCAGTTATTACACTGGTTGATGAGTGATAAGTTGTTATTTTGTTGTTTTTTACTTTTTTAGCTCATACAAAATCATTAACTGTATAAAATGATGGTAAATATAATCACTGCCTACAAGTTTCTTGGTTGTGATTCCTGTGTTGCTAATCAGTGTTTTATATATTATAATTTCAAATAAAGTCAGAAAGCATGCAGTACACTATATATAGCTGTAGTTTGCTTCTAATAATCTGTGGACGTTTATTCCTAACAAATTCAGACTATTACTGTTTGAGCTCGTTTAGCTTGGAGAATTGACGGCTCTGGGGGGACATCACTGCAGCCTTCCAGTACTTGAAGGGAACATATAAGCAAGATCATCTTTTTAGACAGTCTAATAGTTATAGGACAAGGGGGAATGATTTGGGGAAATCTTTTAAAGAGGGAAGACTTAGGTTAGATGTTAGAAAAGAACATCTTTGCTTGTGGGTGATGAGCTGTTGACAGACTGCCCAGAGAAGTTGTGGATGCCTTACCCCAGGAGCCATTTAAGACCAGGTTGATTGGAGCCCTGGGCAGACAGATTTTGTGGGTTGCAGCTTTGCCCATGGCAGGAGAGTTGGAGCTCAATAATTTCTAAGGTCCTTCTAGTCTAAGCCATTCTGTGATTCTACAAATGTTATTTAAAAGAATGTATGAACTTATGACGTTAAAATGGTAAACATACGTATTGCTTGTCATGATTCTGACAGATTTTCAAACAAAGTATGCACATTTTGCAGGTATTGTGAAATTATTTTCCTTTTTATGTTTATTAACATGAACAAAAAAAGCAACATCCTTGCATTATCATGGTTGGTTTTTTGTTTGTTTGTTTTTTAAATTTATTCAATAGCTGTTTACAGTCTTCGTGAAGATCGAAAGCTCTTGTGAAGTTACATACTGTTTCTAAAGTTTATCAAAAGTAAGCCCAATACAGGGTACTTCTGGTATAAGACATTTGTTTCTCTTTTTTCTTTGATACGGGGAGGTTATCTTACTAACAATAAGGTCATTTGCATAACAGAAGACATCATAAAAATTGAAAGCTAATGTCTATGTCATTTTTATATGCTTATATTAACGTGCCTCTTGGTTCATATCACAGGAAGCAGAATCAAACTGGAATTAAATGTCATGCTGTATTTTATTGCTTATGTGTTTGTTATGTATTGATCCTGCTAATTTATAATAAAAAAATTAATAATTAAGAGTTTGAAAATCTGGAATTTTGAAGACATGTATGAACACTAGCTTTTAACTTTTTTTTTCAGACTTGTTCTTAGTTCTGTCTCTGACTACTTTGCTGCCATGTTTACAAGTGATGTTTGTGAAGCCAAGCAAGAAGAGATCAAAATGGAAGGCATTGACCCTAATGCATTATGGGATCTTGTTCAGTTTGCGTATACAGGTACTGTAATGCATGTGTTGTGCTTCCTGCATTCAAAGATGCTGATAGCTTTAGGTTGATGGTTTTATGTGCTGCATGCAAATGAGTTATATTTATATTCTAAACTTTTTTTTAACAAACATCAGTCACTGAAAACAATTACCAATTCTAGGGCTAAATTCTAACATTCTGTTATACCTAATCTATTAAATATGTTGGGCATATAAGCACATGAGAACAGTCTAGAAAATGATATCTATCTCTTAGTTTAGAAATACATGTAGAAGAGTGCCTCGTTATGTATAGGATTCAGATTTCATGCCGTCATTGAAGGAATGCCTATATTTTTGAAGATTACATTATATTGCTATTTTGGTCTAATTCCACTTTACATAGTCATATGGATCTTTTGAAAGTTTCTCGTTAAGATCTGGGTGTTGTGATTCACTTTCAATGTTATAAGCTGATACTTGATTGTATAATGTTTCTGAATAGCTTGTAGCTCAGAGTTAATAACTCAGAACTTTCTTCTGAATAGATGTTATGCTTTAATGCATAATAAGCTTTATCTTTCTTAAACAAGCTTTTATGCACAATGTATCTGAAGTGAATTAATATTGAAGAATACTAAGGTCACAAAATAATTTAAAGATAAGAGGTACCAACAAGATTTGTAGTCTGAATTTGTCTCGCGTTGCATATAAATCATGCTATTATAAAACAGAAGGTACTTTCTGTTTCCTCAAAGACATCCTTATATTGTTTAAATTAAGCATTTGATTTTAACTTGAATTTTAAATGGGTGGTGCATAACCTTTAGTTTTAATCCTGTCTAAATAATAATTTAATCATAAGATGCTCTTGGCTTTGAAATATTTGATCAGGATATGTGCTGTTTATTTTATTACATATTAAGTGTTTTTTACTTTCTTAATAGGAACAAAGAACAAGAAACAAACATAATCTAAGTTCAAAAATGTTCTTTTTTGGGAATCATGTTTCAGAAGCTCAGATAATAGGAATGTCAGACCTTCAAAGGACAGTGTCTACTGCATTTAATTTTAGATTTGCTGTTCAAAACAGTGTGTCATCCACGAGATCTCAAGCTAGGGACCCATGAAATGAACAAAATGTAAGCACTTGTCATCAAGCATGAGAAAGATGCAATCACATTACTAGGTGTGAGAGTAAAATGAATAGAACAGGAATACTGAGGCAAAATCACTAATACCTTTGGACAGAATAGCAAAAAAAAACCAACATTACAGGTAACAATATATCATTCTGTAAGTGCATTAGAGGTGGAGGAAGATGAATGACAGTGTTGCTCCAGTGGGAACAAAACTCTGGAAATACTGAAGTACAGTGTGGCTCTCTTGCCTCAGATTTCACTGAAAAGATCTCAAATAAATTCAAAGCATAGTTCAGAAACAGCAAATCATAAAAATTAGGCATAGGTTAAGATTATTTTAAGAAAAGAATGAGGAAAAGGAAGGAAACAGAACTTAACTTTTCAAAATTAATGAGGCTGTCTTAGAACTTTATTGGTTACCTTTGGAACTGTGAAGAATAGATGTGGTAACAAAAAAATAGAAGAGAGCTAAGACATTTTACTTCCTGCATAAGGTTTTCAGCTGCTTCATTCACCTTGACTTCTCTCTGCAAAATGTTGTATTCTGTTTTTCACATGAGTTGTGTAACATGCAGCTTTCATACTGTGGCCAGGTGGTTAAGGACCAGCTTTCACAAATGGGTGAAAAAAGATATTCACAGTAAGTTTAATGTTTTCCAATTTCCCTTGTGTGAATTTGCATCCTTAATATTATTTCATTTGAACTGTCAAATAAAGCCCAAACTACCTTAAAAATAGCAGCATTATGTGACATTGTAATGTCACCTTGAAGAACTGGCGATTAAGATGGTCACAGAGATCTCTAACTTCTAACACCTGCACTGGTAACACACCATCATCCTTTTAGCTCTGACCCATTCTGGAGACAAAATAAGACTCTGAAGTGTACACTTTAAAAATAAATTTCACAAATAATTGATGATCAAAAGGAGTGATGACATTTATATTGCATGCTAAAAGAGAACATGTTTTTGATTCCATAGAATCTTCAGATTTTGGTTAGCCTGTCATCCATTCCTGCTCCATCAGCTTCTTTGTTCTGACTTATTCTCAGCTTTTGCACTTATTTTTTGAAATGCTTCTTAGACTCTTTGTTTCTCTGCTTTATTTCTCTTCATCAGGCATCTTGACCAACTTCAAAACTTCCTTGCTATTTTTCTTGTTTCTTAAAATTTGATATTTTTTTGTGCTAATGGATATATGTGGGAATACTTGAACTCCTAGAGGGTCTGGACAAGAGAGTTCATAAACGGTTCATTAAATTTTGATTTTTCAACAAGTCTCACACCTATATATCTATTTCTGTTGGGTGCATATAGAATTTGTTAATTGTATTAAATATTATGAATCCTACAGTTTGCCCAAGGAGCTAGTTACAATTGTCTTGAAAATATGCATTCTGAAACATTTAATTTCATGTATAGTTGCTGCTGTTTTAGAGAAGACTTTCCCCAAGGATGACTGAACACTTCACTAAAATATATGTGAACATGGGCTTGTTTGCAAAACTATGGAAGCAAAGAGTATTATTACATTGCAAATATTTTTTAAATGTGATTTTTAAAAGTGAACCATTTTATATTATATTAGCTAACTATTTTTAGCAAGTCTGTGAATTTATGATCAGGCCCAAAACAGAGGCTTCTACATACCACATTTAGAGAGGGAGAGAACAGAGTTTTCAAATCCAGAAACGAAACAGTGTTAATAAAAATGTCAGAGAAAGTGAATAGATTGTATGTATTTTGAAATCAAGGTTATTTTCCTGTACTTATCCAAAACTTGCATTGGAATTTAATTATATTTATGTAAACAAAATTCTAATCAATTCAGAAATTTTTCACACTATTAAAGATATTTTGCTAAGATAATACTAGCTTCCATAAGCATTTCTATCATCTTGGCAGCTTGTTTCTTAAATACTTTGAACAAACTATATTTTAAGTTTTTATTTTGAAGGAAAATTGTTCACTTTTCATCCTATTAAAAAACTAGAGTAACAAAATACTGTGCTTTTTTCTTATTTAATAATCTAAAAGAAGTTTTCCAGTAGATCCTAAAAATTTTCACTTTTACTTCTATTTAGATAAGTACATAAGGTATGCATTTATACAGTTATACATATATTTATATATGAATATCTTATGTATATATGCTTCAAATATTTTTGCAGTTTAAAAAAAAAAAAAGAGAGACCATGACAGGGGAAAAACAAACAAACAAAAAACCTCTGCTAGCCTACGAAATAAAAGCTATATTAATTTTCAGAGTGTTTATTTTTCTTTTTCATGGTGAAGTTGTGTTACTTTAATTATTATATACAATGTCTTGAATGTATACATAGAATAAAAACAAATGTGTTCTCTTTGTCAATTGTGTGAAGTCAGGATTATATCTAATTTGCAAAGGAAAGTGAATATTTTAAACTCTAATAAAATTCTGGAAGGGGTTGCCATCTGTGAGGAATTGGCATATTAAATAAAGCTAATGTTTTAAATTCAATCATGTTTTTGAGACTATACATGAGTAAAGTTGGACAAATGCTTAAGATACAATGTTCATTTAATTTTATTTGCTTTGCTTATAGTTGTGTTGTTTACCTTTTAAAATAGGCAGCACTTGCAGACTTCTTCTTTTTCTTCTTAAACATGTACTATTCTATTAAAGAAATTGCCTATAATAACATGAAATACTTCATACATTATGTTGCTCTCTCTCTACCCCTGAATAAGTAGAAGACCGAGTCCTGACACACTGTGAAACTGGACTGTGTTCACTCGTGTATGCAAATAGACTTGTAAATAATTTGCAAGGTAAAATTACATGGCGGCCAGCAGAGTATTAAGTCCTCTACAGTCTTGATAAGAGCTGCTCCTAAATAAAGGCACATGTCCATCTAGAAGTAGTAAAAGGAAAACAAGAAAATTAGTCTTCCAAAGTTGTATGGTAAAGAGTATTAAAGTTTCTATGAAGAAGCAACGTTACTAATTAAAAAAAAAAAAAAATGGTATGTTAGATGCATTAGTAAAATGCAATTTGATTAAAACTGAAAATTTGGGATATCCTAAAACACGTTATAAAGGCTGTTAGAGGGCTTTGAGTTTCTTTTTACACTGTTTTTTGTTTGTTTGTTTTACATAGATAAGTTACAACTGAAGAATTTGATTTTATAAAAAGATCAGTTACTGTATTGTTTTATCTGAAATAAGTAAAAGACTTTCTAAGGATATTAACTTAATAATAATAAACTTGCAATTTGTATAATTAAAACTGTGTGTATTGTATAGGTCTATTAGAAGCACACTGCCATTTCTTACTGCTTTCTCTTAATATCAATTACGCATTCTTCAGTATCAGCATTAGCTTTTAGTTAGATTTTATTTTGAAGGCTCTTTAGTGGATGGCCTTTCAAACGTCATATCTGACTGTTAAATCTAATCACACACACAGGAGAGACAATAGGGATAGCAAGAAAGAAACTACCTTGGAGCACAGGAGCCCTTAGGTTTCCTTAGGACAGAATACAGTTTAAGCGGATATCCCAAAAAGGTTTGGTTTTGTTTTGTTTGATGAATGGAAACTGCTTCCTAAATGAATAAAGGCTGCAAAGGATACTTATCATAGTTTTGGAACATACCTTTTATATTCTTCAAAGATATTTCTTCACGTGATCCAAAAGTTGTCACAGCCACAGGATCATTCTTCAACATGCAATTTGAATGTTTCTGCCATGGTTTGGAGGACAGCAGAGTTCAATGTGAAACACAGGCCATTTCAATCCACTTATCCTTAGTGTCTGGAATTTCCCTCTAACAAGTTTAACTTAATAGGCAGTATTGAAGACTCAAATAAATAATTACAGATTCCTAGGTGATGATAACAATAGCTT